CAAGGATGTATTTTTGTGACATGGATTACTGTCCACCACTGATAGCCACCTCCACTGGAAATCAGCTTCACAATATGGAAACTGCCTCTAGCCTTGATCTTGGGTCTTTGCCTGTTTATTTGTATGAGAAATCCATAGCCATCACAGCTTTCATATTGACCTTGTGTCTTGGTTAAGGCTCTGCTTTCTGGATCCCAAAATGTATATGGAGTTTGGTATCTAGAGAGTGATTTGGAGACTAAGGGCTAAGCTAGAGGGAGCTGCAAAAGTGGGTCTAGTATGACAGAGTGAAAAGGATAAGGGGTATAGGAATATCCGGTGGGAAATGTGCTTGGAGTCATTGGGAAGTAAGAAAGATATCTTGGAAACTGAAATAAGAAGAAAAAGCATTGAATGGGTATCACTCAGGAGAGAGAAGTGGAAGGCTAAAAAGGCCTATAGAGGATACACATATCTAAGGCAGGACTCTAAATCCTGTATGTGAGTGCATAAAGTGGACATTTGGGCCCTACGTACTGCTTTGAGCACTCAAATGACAGACTGAAAATTTAGCTCACATCGATTTGTTATGAGTCTTTTCATGAGGTTTAGTATAACTACAGTATTTCTGAAATCATTTATTTTTCTTAGCGCCAAAACCCTGGCTCATCTTTCTTTCATCTGTTGTGATGTTTAACATCCACTACTCTGTGCTTTTGATTGATTAGGGTAAGCCCCACCAAGAGTACTGCTCCAGACAGTTGTGATCAGCTGAATGTAAATGGGAGCTTGAACCAAGTTAACTGTTCTTCTCTGGCTTTCTGGGTTTGTGAAAGAAGGGAAGGTAAGAGAGAATTCCGTGGGCTAACCATTCGGGAGGTGTTCATCTTACTCTTCCAGGACAAAAAGCCCTGGCTGAAGTAAGACTGTTGCTATACCATATATTTTTTAGGTTCACATCTGTGTATGGCAAATATATAGGGCCTGATTCTGCCATTTACAAAGGTTGAACTGCTCACAGAGTAGGTACTTGGCACTGTCAGTAAGGGTGACAGAATTGGGCCAAAAGGGAAATTGATCAGTTTAGCTATTGTTCATAAAACGTGCCTGCGGCCCTAGCCAGCTAGTGCTGTGAACGGCACAGCCCTTACAAGCTAAGTGGTGTCAGCCTGGGTCAGTTCTGAAGATGGGAAATCTCTTTACAGCAACAAAACCAAAAGTCGAGGACATGGAGTTGGTGACTCAGTATGAACAGCCTTCTTGTGAAGTGCCAGATTGCATGTTTTATGCTCAGCCCTGATGCATAGCTGCACTGCCACCAGAAGCTCCCTGGGAAGCATCATTCTGCAGAAAAACATTTCTTTCCAGGGCACCCTGTCAGTGCAGAGGAGGAGGAGAAATGTACTACAGTCCTTTTCAGGGTGCAGCTAACTCCCTCCTCCCCCATGCAATCAGACAGCTCCCCAGAGCACTGAATGCTAAGACCTGGGTAGCCCTAACTCAAACCACTAAACAGTAGTGGTGGATATCCTTACTCCTCCACATGACTGTGTGGGTCTAGTCACAATTAGAGTTGAGCAAATAATTGATAATGTTGGTTTGGTGGTTGAACCGAAATCAAATTCAGATAATTTTGGACTGAAACTAAGGCTGGGTCTACACTACCCGCCTGAATCGGCGGGTAGAAATTGACCTCTCGGGGATTGATTTGTCGCGTCCCAACGGGACGCGACAATCAATCCCCGAATCGACACTCTTACTCCACCAGCGGAGGTGGGAGTAAGCGCCGTCAACGGGAAGCCGCAGAGGTCGATTTTGCCGCCGTCCTCACAGCAGGGTAAGTCGGCTGCGATACGTCGAATTCAGCTATGCTATTCGCGTAGCTGAATTTGCGTATCTTAAACTCGACCCCCCCCCCCCCCCGTAGTGTAGATGTAGCCTAAGGGTATTTCTAGATTGATCCAGCAGGGATCGATTTGTCGCTTCTAGTCTAGACATGATAAATTGACCCCCGAGCCCTCTCCCCTCAACTCCTGTACTCCAGCGCTGCAAGAGACGCAAGCAGAGTCGACGGGGGAGCGGCAGCAGTCGACTCACCGCGGTGAAGACACCACAGTAAGTCGATCTAAGTACGTCGACTTCAACTACGTTATTCACGTAGCTGAAGTTGCGTAACTTAGATCGACACCCCTCCACCCCAGTGTAGACCAGGGCTAAGTTTGATTTCTTCTTTGAGTAGTGTCCCTGTGAGTGCTCCACGTTAGGTGTTGGTGCGTCCCTGCGCCGGAGATCGGAGATTTTAGGTTGCAATACTTGTTCGGGGCGCGTGCAGCAGCTGTCTCACGGTGTCGTTGGCGCCTCTTGTAGTGTGCGCACAACCCAACCCCCTCAGTTCCTTCTCTACTGTCCTCTGCTGCAGACGCAGCTCAATGGCAGTGCTGCCTCTTTGAAAATCTCTAGAAAAGAAAATAGTTTACATAGTAGTTTTAGCTTAGAGAGTTTGATTAGCCAGTTATTTAAAAAAAAAGTTTTCTTTTTCTTTCCCTTCAGTTTTAGTTTCTTAGATTAGCAGTAGAAATAGAGTTTTCTTTTAACCAATTTCTACATTTTTTCTTCACATTTCCCGTCCCAATTGCGGGAAAAATCATTGGACACAATGCCGGGCTCACCCGGTTTTAAGAGATGCAACTTTTTTCTGCCATTTTTTTCAGTCGAAACTATTCAAATTCAACTTAAATGTGCAACTTGTTTCAGTGTCCTGAAAAATGCATTTTCTTTGGTGAATTTCTGATTCGCAAAAAAAAATGTCGCCCAGTTCTAGTCACAAGAGGGATAGCTCAGTGGTTTGAGCATTGGCCTGCTAAACCCAGGGTTGTGAGTTCAATCCTTGAGGGGGCCACTTAGGGATCTGGGGCAAAATCAGTACTTGGTCCTGCTAGTGAAGGCATGGGGCTGGACTTGATGACCTTTCAAGGTCCCTTCCAGTTCTAGGAGATGGGATATCTCCATTATAAAAAAAAAAAAATCTAACACTAAGTTGGTACCAAAGCCTAGTACTAAGTGATACTAGGCTTCTGAAGGTGCCTTGAACTCCAGCTAGGGGTCAGGCTTTTAGCCAACTCTTCCTATTCAGAATTGTCAAGCAGCATCTGATTTGCAGCGCTTATCATCCGCACACACAAAACAGAAAAGCAAAGATCATGCTCTGGTAATTATATTTTACAGAAAAGCCTCTGAACTTGAAGTGTTGGATTCAAGGAAATGTCAGACTTGTTTAAGTCAGTCTCCGACTGCCTTTATTTTACTGATCTTGCCACATTTAAATGAGAATGCTGAGGCTGGAGCAAACAAGAGGCTAATAGCATCCGTTTGTATTAAATTTAATAGTCTTGCATTTGATTTATTTACCAAAAGGAGAAACATGACAGCAGTCTAGGAGAATTTAATGCATCCAATCCTATGAACAGAACATGAACTAGACAGACAAGGTCACTTCAGTCTGGATTTTCGGTTGTTAAAGGAAACGATGCCGAAGAACCTGGTTTTTTTTTTTCCAAGGCAGAAATGTAAAAAGTCAACAGGTGTGGCTGGCTTTGAAAAATGGTTTGCAGTGACTGCCTGTGAGCCAGCAAACAAGCTGTGCTTTGCACTGCTCAGGAAGACCATTGTCAGCCGCTGGAGCTCAGCGGGTCTTTGAGCTGATGGAGGAGCATGTGAGATTCACAGTGTAATTTGAAATGTTCAAAATTTGTGCCCATTTTTGAGCAACATTGTTTCCCTTTCAAAAACATGCAAAACAGTTTGTGTGGTTTTTGCAGCTAAATTTTTGTTTTTGTGAACGCAAGAAATGTGGGGGTGGGAATGGGGGCATGGATATAGCAAAATGAAATTGCAGAATAGCATATTAAAATTGTTCAGGAGTTTTTGTGTAGTCCTAGACAATGAATTGCACTTATTTGAATTGTATTGTTATATGTGTGCCTGTCTTCCTTTCTTCAAGGTGAAGAAACTGCCCTCTACTAGATAGAATGGCAGACCTGCTTGAGTTTGCGTTGATCACATTGTTAAACACAGTCACACAACCTACAGCACTGTGTGTGTGTGTGAGATTGTGTGGCTGTCTTGGGGTAATCATTTATTTTATTACAAGTGTGACTGTTTCTCAGGTTATTATTGGTGGAATATTATCCTGGTTCCTATCTGGACATAAGCTCTGAGGGGTCGAGATTTTGTATGGATTGACTGTTCGTTGGTGTGAAAGCTGGATACATATATGGAAATAACAGACTAGCAACGTGTGTGATCTTGGTTCCCGGATGTTCAGCTGACCCGTCAGGTCACCCAATGTGTCACTCTCATTCTTTTCCATATGTTTATATTGCCATTAAGATATTTGTTACAAAAGAACAGAGAAATGAGAGCAAGAATTGGTGTCAAATAGTACTCTAAGCCTCAGGTTTGAAACCCCTAGACTCCTAGGAACCACAAGTTTGAATCCCAGCAAGCTTGGCTCAGCCCTTCATTGTTATCAGGTAAGTAAATGGAGATCCATGGGTTTACTGCAGGGGTAGTCAATTATTTCTTGTCAAGGTCCAAATTTCTTGGTCAAGGTATAGTCAAGATCCAGACTCCAGAGAAAATACACCTCTACCTCGATATAACGCGACCCGATATAACACGAATTCGGATGTAAAGCCGTGCTCCGGGGGGGCGGGGCTGCGCACTCTGGTGGATCAAAGCAAGTTCGCTATAACGTGGTTTCACCTATAACGTGGTAAGATTTTTTGGCTCCCGAGGACAGCGTTATATCGAGGTAGAGGTGTAATAATAAAAATAATAACAATAATGATAAGTAAATAAAAAGATTTAGAGGTTTGTTCAGAA